ATTCTGTTGTGAATGATTTTTAGTAATATTTTGATTATATGGTTTAGCAAGCTAATTGTTCTGTGTTCACAATGTTTTATAGTTCCTGTTTTCTTGGGTATAGGTACCGTAATAGAATAGTCAATTTCATCTGGTGCCTTCTCTTTTTTGTATGTGTTATTCAAGATCTCTACTAATGCGTCTATTCCTTCATCATCTATATTTTTGATAAGTTCAATGGGAATTCCATCTGGTCCAGTTGCCTTACCTTCGTTTATGCTTTTAATTGCATGTCTCACTTGTTCTACCATAATGTCTGGGCCTTCTTCATCTATCTCAGGTTTTTCGAAATATCTTTGGTCTTTATAAAGTATTCGAATATATTCCTCCTATGATTTTTTCATTTCTACCAAATCTGTTGTTATTTTGCCATCTTTTCTTTCTACACATACAGTTTTTAGTGGAAATTTTACTGTTAGTTCCCTAATCTTTTTATGTATGTCTTTGGAGTTATGGTTTCTCTCCAATAACTCCATTTCCTCGCATTTAATTTTTAGGCAGTTTTCTTTTGCTCTTACAATTTCTTTCTGTATTTGTCTGTGTGTAGTCATATACATTTGCTGATTTTTGTTTTTATACTTTTTTTCTTTCGTCCATGAGCTGTAAGATTTCATTTGTCATCCAGGGCTTATTCTTTTCAATTTTTTTTTGTATCCAATTGTTTTCCCAGCTTTATTCACAATTGCTGATTTCAATATTCGCCACTGAACCTCTGGATTTGTCATATAGTTGCTGTGTTTGTGTTCTTTCAGTTTGTTCTTGATTATTTTTTGATATCTTGATATAACCGAGACGTTTTTCAGTGCCCCAGTGTTTAATATCTGTTTGGGGCTTTTTTTTCTTAGTTATTTTTAGTTTTAAATTAAGGTCGCTTACCAGTAAGTTGTGATCAGAGCCACAATCTGCGCCAGGATAAGTTTTGGTTTTAGTGATCATGGTCTTGAATCTTTGATATAGTCTATTTGATTTCTGATTATATTTTTAGAGTTATTAAAAGGGGCTTTCCACGTATATAGTCTTCTTCTCGGTTGATCACACCAGGTATTTGCTATTGTTAAATTATATTTACTGCAGAATTCCACTAGTCTGTCCCCTCTTTCATTCCTTCTCCTAGACCAAATGGCCCTACAATCTCCAACTCTCTACCCTTGCCGACTTTTGCATTTAAATCTCCCATTATAATGGTAATTTCTTGTGACTTAGTGGTTTCCAGTGCACTTTCTAATTCTTCGTAAAATTCGTGTCTTGGTCATTTGCATCTGTTGTAGATGCATATTCTTGTATTATGTTTAACTTAAAGGGTTTCGTATTTATTTTCACAGCTATTACTCTGTCAGACTGTGCTTTGAACCCCTCCACAGCCGTAGCGAATTTTTAATTCATTATAATGGCCACTCTGTTATTGTGTGTGTTACCTCCTGAGTGCCAAATTGTGTGGTTTCCAATTTTCATTTTGCCTAAATTTGTCCATCTAACTTCATTAATTCCAAGAATGTCCAGGTTGTATTCTCTCATCTCTTTTATGACATTATGCAACTTCCCGTTTTGATATAGGCTCCTCATATTCCAAGTACCAATTTTGGTTTTTCCGCAGATTCTTAGCACCCCCTGACCATTAAAGGTCTGACGGGGCCATGGTTTGATTTGTAGAGTGCATGGTATTTGTAGGTAAAATTGGAAAATAATGCAGTGGTTTTCCCTTGCCTTCTGCATCACAGTGCTACAACCTTCCAATCACTATGATCTGGCTTGTAGTTGTCTGGACATAAGCCATTCCGTTATCATTTGATTTCAGCCTCAGGCCTCTTCCACGTCAAGGTAGAGACACCTTCGAAGGGGATATGTTTAGGATCAGATCTAAAAAATCAAATAAAGAAGTATTTAAATATTAAGAATCGAAAATAAGATATAACAGAAGAAGAAGAAGGGGTGGTCTATTCGTTTAGATGTAATTGTGTAAAAAAAATATAACATATATGGGAGAAACAAACAGAAAATGGAGGAATAAGAAATAAGGAACTTATAAGATCAGTTCAGAAAAATTTTGCAAATACACTGGCACGTCATTGTAATAAGGAAGGTTGTGAAATAATAAAAGAATTAGTTCAAATAAAAAAAACAAGAAATAAATATGTTTAAAAGACAACTTTATGAGTATATTAAATATCATAATAGCGAGGTTGCCGCCGAAGTTTTCATCGCGAAAACGTTTTCGCGTTGAAAACTTCGGCGGAAATCTCGCTAAAATCACAACACTTGCTTTAGGTTGATCGGGAAAGCATAGGATTTTATACATTTATTAAACAAATAAGCCAAAGGAACAGAAATTTTAAAAGCACCGATACATGGCCAGAGGTTCGCACTCACCTACGACTGAAGTGGAGTTTATTAAGTTTTATTTGTGATTTACAAAGTTCTATCTAGGTGTTAGTTTCTATAGAAAACTAACACTTAAATAGCGGTTAGTTTCACATAGAAAGTCGTCTCAGGAAACACTCTTTGGCAGATAGCTCATGTATTGCATTTTTTTTATCCAATCCTATTACAGCTTTATCCTATTAAGTTATTCACATTAATAAATTAAAAGACATCTTTTTAACATTGAGAAAATATTTATTGAAAAAATAATATCTATTATATATATCTAATGTAATATTTATGTCTCTATGAAATGATTCAATTATTTTTTAAATTTAGTTAATTATTTCTACAATGTATGCATGGTAGAAACAAATATTCAGTTAGTATTAAATTGTATAAATACAGAAATAGTTCCACGATACGTCGATAAAATATAACAGCAAGTTTAAAAAACATAAGATGTTTGTTCGATAACAATCAAATTTACAAAAAAAATTATTTTTTAAAATTCAATTTGTAATTAAAATTAACATTTTGAAAGAAAATTTGAAAATTGTATAATAATTTTTTTTAGTAAAAGAAAAAAATGTAAGTTTTTATAAGATAGAATTTATAAAATATTTTAAATTTAAGTAGATGCTTGAAGAAATTCATTGTTTAAATAACTTTATAAAAAATTTATTCGTTCCAAAATTTCATTAAATTTGATATAATTATTGTTTATTAAGTAAACAATAATTATATCAAATTTAAACAAAATTATTTTTATTCAAATTAACTTTAAATAAAAAGTATAGAAAGCTTTTAATACTCGGAACGTGGGTAGGAAATCCTTACAAGAGTTTTCAATAAACGATCTATTTATAACTTAATACTGTATTTAAAAATAAATATATTGTTACATTTATAAACCAAATTACTAAGACTTTTAAAGAAATTGATTAAAAATTTCATATTAAAAGAAATCAATCAAAACATTTATTGTTTTAATTGAACAGATTTTTAATTGGCATTAAAAATTCATAAGACATAAAACTAATTTAATTTTTACTCCTGTTGCATAAATAATTGAATAGAAGGAACGTGTTAATGGCTAAATAAATTTAGCATAATTTGCCTATTATTCGAAATGATTCGTTTTAAATAAGTTTCCAGACAAAAGAATGATTGATTATTCCAATTTTAAAAGTTCCAGTAGTCAGCCGTCTACGATAAAATAAGCGATATTAATAATTTTAAGAGCAAAAAGTAATTATCATTTTTTAGAATGTGTAAGGTGTACTGTTGTTGTTAAGTTTCTTTTGCGAGTTTAGTATTTTTAAACGGTAACATAATGTAAATGTTTGCTTTAAGATATTTATTTACAGAATAAAATGATTGTTTCAGTTTGTAATGATAACTATTTTATTGTAGTTTTTTAAAATTTATGTTAAATTTATAGCGAACAATTTTTGAGAAAATCAGACACATCCTCCCCAGATGGTTCCCAAGACACGTTTAATGGCTAAAATTGCTGCTTCTAGCTATTCAAGACAAAATAAAAAATTGAATTTTTAATACATAGCCTATCTTTCAAAATCGATAATTTTAATCATAAATTTTAAAAATATTATCATTTTTTTTTGTTTCTAAGTTTTAAAAATTGTTTATACTTACAAATATTTTCTATATATTAATAAATTGTAACATATTTGTTTGTTGAATTCTTCTTGCTAATGACGTGATACAAAAAAGATTATGTAAATAGTAATGATTTACTATTAATTTATGTAATTTAAATCTGTAAAAAGTATTAGAAAGCTTAATGTACAGTACCTAGCTTTAAGTAAAAGTATTTAGTAAGAAATGTTTTTTCGAGATTGGAAGTAGTGGACCATTTTTTTGGCTTCCACGATCGCTAGACTTGACTCGATTCGATTTTTTTATGGTGACATGTGAAAAGAATATGCAACGAAACCTAGATCGTTAAAAGACTTGAAAGCTGAAATAACTAATGTGATTTCAGGCATTACTGGAAATCAATTGGCAAATGTTTTTAGAAAACTATAAAATCGTATTACCCTTTGTATTACTAATAATGGTGGACACGTGGAAACTTAATAAAATACATAAAACAATAAATAAACATAGATTTTCTTATTTCCAATGCATTCTACATACTTTCTCAATCACAAATACTAATAAAGTTATAAATTTTTTAAATTGAACACAGACTTTATGGACACCATGTATCTCAGGACTAGATGAATCAAAAATGTTGAAACTTGACAGGTTTATTTTTATATGTGGTGCATTGATGCCCTTACATTTTGGTAATTAATGGTCAAAGGAGTAAGGAGAGAGAAGGTGGTCAATTCTAACATGTCCAGTAGGTCATACTTAATAAAAATTTTACTCGTTATTTACAAGTTTTAAAAACTCTCTCTACCCTCAAAATAAAGCCTTTTGCTTTCTTACAATAATTAATAATATATAAATTATTTTTTAAATAAATTTTCACAACACTAACCTTTGGCTAGTATCAGAAAGTTTATTAAATTTATTTAAATACAGTATACATTTTTATATCGAGAAATTTATCATAATTGAGCAAAATTAGTCCTTTAACATTTTTATTATTTAAATTTTATTTCATAGTATAATTGAAAATTATTAGACTTCCTTTCTGGTTTCCTTAACCTTCAGTTTGAGTACCAGGAGAGTCCAGCGCTTGCTTTTTTTTCATAAACTTATACTGCCAAAAATACTAGTTTCAGTTTTAATTTTTATGAATAAATAATAATAGAATATAATTATTTTAACTGGATATATAAATAATGTGTGTAGCTAAGAAACGAAAATAACATATCTTCTTTTCTTTACGTGCACAACGGATTTTATTATAATATCTAAAATACATTATTTGTTAATACAATAAAGATAAAATATAAAATATAGAATTGTAAAAATGCGATTATACAAATAAGGAAAATTAAATAATCCTTCTTACGAAAATGAAATTTAAAAATTATGAATTTAAGAAAAGAAAAAATACTAGTTTATCAAATTTTATATGTGGTATGACAAAAATAGTTGATAAAATTTAAATAATAGTTAAAAATTTAAATAATAGTTAAAAATATAAATTAATTAGATAAAGAATTGAATATGTTAATTTTTTTTCTATTTTTATTAGGCATATTTTAATAGAAGAATTCATTATTGAAAACTTTGACATTTTAATCTTCGAATGATTGTTTTTGTACATTAAAATTATATTCAGAAATTTTTCCGTTGAAAGATTAAGATGATTAATGTAAATAGAAAAAATTAGGCCTATTTACATTAATTTTCTTAATCTTTCAACGGCAAAAGTTCTGAATATAATTATGACATACTGTACAGTACAAGCAATCCTTTGAAAATTAAAATGTCATTTTTTTCAATTTTTTCAGAAATTCTCATTTACACTCTTTGACGATCTGTTTAATGTATACAGTTTTTATGTAAAAGAGCAGCATTTATATGTTTCACTTCGAAGTGAATAATTATACAATATATATAGGCTAATAACAGCTGAAACGGTTTACTTTAAAAATTTTATCGAGATTTACTTTCTTAAAGCTTATTTCATAAAATACTATACTTTTTCTTCCAAACCCTAATCTTATAAAGTATATTTCATATCTTTATAAGAAGGAGAAACAAAAATCCTAAATTTGTTTTCACTTGAAATAAGAGATTTTTATAGGTCTATGCATCATTTTATCCAATCTCTATATCTTTGCATATTCTGTATGGTATTTTTGGGATGTGTTAAAAATAAAAGTAGACTAAATAAAATACTTACAAATGAAACTAATTTCAAAACATCCAATAAATTTCATCTTCCTACAACGGTTACCTCTAAACAGAGGCTAATTTTTTCAAGAACTTTTCGGAAAAAAAAAATTTATCAAAAAATATCCCTCAAACAACAGCCACCTCCGAGCAACAGTCGTTTTTTATATTCCATCAGTAATCTTTGTTCAAAGATTTGAAAATGTTACAAAACATCAAAACTTATTCCACTAAAATTTATAATTTTATAAATAATTATTGATTATTTAATTAAGTTACTATTATCTAAAGTAAGCAAGAACAAAACAAATTGTTGACGTTAAAAACATAAGAAATTGTCTATTCATGTCGAACAGTTGTAGGCTGTAAATAGTAATGATTTACTATTAATTTATGTAATTTAAATCTGTAAAAAGTATTAGAAAGCTTAATGTACTTAGTTTTAATTAAATAAAATTATTTAGTTACTCTTCAATGCAATAATTTAACAATTTTTCGAAACTTTAGAGAACTACAAAATCGTATTACCCTTTGTATTACTAATGATGGTAAACTTAATAAAGTAAAACAATAAAAAAATATATAGATTTTCTTATTTCCAATACATTCTACATAATTTCTCTAACACAAATACTAATAAAGTTACATACTTTTTAAATTGTACACAGACTATATGTTATGACTATAACCATATATACGGCAGGTCTATATGTCATAAATCCCATTTTAGTAAATTTAAGTCATTTTATGACAGATATAACAGCTACTAACAAACAGATATCATCTCAAAACTGATCAAATAATTTCAGAGTAATTCAAAATTAATAATAAAAATTGAAATACAGTACTGGCTTTTATATTTTTTCTTATGCACAATAAACAAGGAAAGCATTTTTATAAAAAAGCTTTCCTTGTTTATTGTGCATAAGAATAAAACTAAATAATAATAATAACACTCATTGACAAATACAATAAAATCACATACATTATAGACATAGCCATTCTAAACACTCACAATGTACAAAACACATACACTGAAAAAAAATCAGCAATTACACAGAACTTGCCCAGGAAATTAAGACATCAGNTATTTGGAACATCAGATTTCTTTTAAGCAATTCAATGCTGTCATATACTAACAGTGTTTATCTGTTTGTAAAGAATAAAGTTATAAATTAATATTAATCAAAGAAAAATTTAATACCTTTTGAATATTTTATTACTGAGAAAATATCATTGAAAAGTAATGTACGAACACTTTGATTATAAAATTCTCCGGATGATTTTTATATTAATTAAAATTGAAGTTAAAGACCTTCAAAACAGCCAGTCTAAATTCACTTTCATGTTCCGAAATATATGTTATGACGAATTAAATTTTCCTCTTAAGCTCTTGGTGGTGCTAACATTAGCCTAAAAGGAAAGGTCAGGTAGTCAAAGGATATATTCCGTGATATGAAAGTTAATTAAAAAGTAAGTGTTTCGACAGACTTTGTCTTCAGTTTTAATAAATACTTTCAATTTAATTTTAAGATCGACATATTTGTTAAATATCAATAATCTTAAAAATAATCGAAATAAAGGTATGATTCACATTAAACATTTAGTTAGGTAATATTTTAATTTTTATCATTTAAATTTATGTTAAATATGCAATAATCTAATTTAACACGTATAAATTAAATGAATAATTACAGATAATTAATGAACTCTCTCCGTTTTACTATGTATTAAATGTAGATCTTTAGTTTTTGAGAGCTTATAAAATAAATTTTTATAAGCTGTCGAATTAAATAAACGAATGTATAAAATTGCATTGAGTTTCGAAACTTAACACAATTTTATACATTCGTTTACTTAAAGACAGAAAATGTGAATAACGACTGTTGTGAAACTGTTTATCTTGTGAATGAAAGAAAAATCGTTGCCTATCAATTCTCTGATTAAACATAGAAACTTCCACGAGAAAATATATGGTTCACTTTCAAAATCCTCTAACAGGAAAAAAACACAAGAAAAATATCCACAATAAAAATTAGTGGATAAAAAATCTCCAGTATACTCACCAACTTCAAAAATCGTTCCACTGTTTCCAAAGTTTTTTTAGTAAATTGGCTCCCGTCTCGCTATTATTTTCATCTTGAACAATAGCACAATAAGTAGTTTCTCAATTTTTTTTTTCTTTTTTCCTCATTCAACATTATTTGCAGCTGTTAGGTAATGTGTTATGGCAGTTATGCAATAGCTTGACGAAAATTTTTGAAAGAATATAATGTTACTTTCCTAATTAAATTTAAGAAAAATAATCTCTAAGAAGATCAATGGTTATATTTCTTTATTCAGTTAAAGAAACAATTCTATAATGTAAGGTATGGAAAGTAATTAAAATATTAAATGTGAATACATTTTATATTATAACTATCACATTTTCAAATTGCTGAATCAATCAAATAAATACAAAACCTTTAAATACCAGTAACAGAATTTTAACGAAAACTAAACTTTATTTTATTTTATTAAATTTCATATTTCATCATATTTAAAAATGTTGTTTGTGAATACATTATACTTTAATATACAGCATATACAAATATTATACATAATTAAAATAAAACAAGTAAATAAGATGATTAAAAGTGTTTTACATAGTTGTTAATTTTATTTCTAAATTCTTAGCGTTTAACATTTAAAAGTAATAAAACTACCGTGTAGAAAAGGCTATAGTTTTTAATTTGCTCTTTAATCTAAAAAATGTAAAAAAACAAATAATATGTTATAAGTAAGGAATGTAATATGAAATACTAATTGTTAACAATTTGTTTTTTTATTGTATAAAATATTTCTAATAAATATGAGTAAACATCATAAAAAAACATAATTTTGCATAATTTAAAGCAACAAAAATGTACATAATTCTGTATTTAATTGTAGTTTAACATATCACACACAGTAAAGTATCAATATTTACATTTATATTTTTAATAATAATTTATATAAATATAATAGGCTTACTTTTTATTATCACATTTTAGAAATTTTCATAAAATTAATTTTAATTACTATAAAATTTTTTCGTGTTAAAATTTAAATATTTTTTAAAATTCTATGAGATTTTATGTAGTAGAGATGCTAGAAATAATGTTAAATTCGTTATTAAAATAAAACGTAAATATAGTAAAAATAGTAATAATGTAATTTTTTAAATATTGAAAGAAACAAGACTTTGAACTACTCAAATGAAAATATGTTGGTGATAAGACTATTTATAGTTAAACTATTATTATACTGCGAATTCATCAACTTGTTTTCATTAACTGTAGGTTGTATTGATTTGTACAAAAATTTTTCGTTCAAGTTTATGTCCTGATTAAAATGTTTTTATTTAGTGAAGTTTTGTCTTATGTATATACATGTGAAGTTCTTCTTAAGAAAGTAACAATGTGTATGCATATACTGTATCCACAAATCCTAAAAAAGAATATATATATTATGACTGGAGATAGACCTGTTATGTCCGAAATGAATATCGTAAAATAAATGCATTGAATTATTTTGCAAATTGTGTCTCAAGGTCATTCTATTCTGTTTTTAATCCAGTGTGATAAATCTTTTTGGGAAACATGCGCTAACACAAAACATTGAAAATAAGACAAAGGACAGAAGACGATAGAATAATACTATTGTTCGTGTTTAAAATTAGCGACATATAAATTTTATAAATTTTTAATCGACGGAAGACTGCTGTAAGAACTGCTCCGTTAAAAACTAAGAGGAAACAGAGAGAAGATGCAGGAAGAAGTGAAATTGTTTTTGAAGCGGAACAGAAAACTCGCTTAATTTTTGAATGATTCAAGAATAAAAAAAATTTTTAGCAATTTTTTAGAATTTTCGTTTTTATTTTAACCGGTTAATTCCTAATTTCATTTTTGTGTTTGTGATTCCTATACAGTTACATATTTGCTACGGCCGACCTGCATAGAAATTAGTAGGATAATTTCTATCTTATTAGTTTCATTATCATGTTATTTAATATATTTAACAAATCTAAATATTTTCAATTTTAATACTAGAATTTTGCAGAACGTTCTATATTAATTAAAACGTAAATTTATTTTATCAAACCTTTTTAAAGATTCGCTACTTTAAGTGACATTTTATATATTAACATTTTAAAATATTACTTTCATATTTTACGAGTAAGTTAATGTTTTATACAAATACTTCATTAAATTTGTAATTTATTTACATATTTATTTTTTTTTCTTCCTGACCTTTAACTGCAACATTAATAAATAAATATCGGAATGTCCATTTTTATTGTAAAATTTATGTAGTTTTACAAAATTAAATTTACTTTCCGAGTAAATAAAAAAACAAATGACATTTTGAAGAAATCAATGCATTTCCAAAATTAAGAATTTTGCTTCATTTGGCATTTTTACTAATGAAAAAGTATCAATACTGTAAAAATCCAGCAATGTAAAATTTACAATGTATCAAATAATACAAAATTAAAGAAATCAAATAACAATTTAAGAAAAATTAAGGAAAAAGAATTGGTTTCTTCTTGACTTTTCATTATTCACTGTTTATAAGAATTTCAAATGAAACTGGAGAAGGACATTAAATTTTTAATGTTTTTTTTTTAAATTCTAATATTAAGGTGTTTTTGTATATTTTCTTATCAAACAAATGCTGAAAAATACAGTAGACTCCCCTATAAAACAAGTTCATATAGTTCAGATTCCTATATGATGGTGAAAACATTGCAACCGTATTTGTATAAACACGCTAAAAGACACTTGTATAATTCAGTAAAACGTCATTGCCGACTCGTGTTGCGACAAGATTGGTTGAATCTAGACTAATAGCGGGTATTGCATAAACCATTGAGTTTAAACGAGCAGCAGACCTACTAAAAACCATTTATTATTTAATGGCCATAAAAATTATATTTATATTAATGATGTCTCCAAAANTTAAATACAAAACTCAAAATTAATACAATACAATACGAGCAATTATTTATTGTGACATCGTCACAATGTCGGTCTACAATTTCTAATCATATTTTTAATTTTTTAAGTTAAAAC